ACATCCGCTTCGTTAGTTGAACTACGAGATAGTGTGACCAACCATGGTAAGAAGGGAAACAAAGCAGGTGGGCATGGAAGTCTACGCTTGAAACGATCGCGCGCATTTATCTGTCGTTGGTGTGCAAGCGGGAAAGGATCGGATTTTAGCTGTTGTGAGATCAACGCGCGATAGTTCGCGAGACAAGTTAAGAAGAAGTCAGGCACAATTCCAACAGCGGACTTCTCCTTAGATTCTTGCGGCAGAACTCCCAGTTTGCACAAACTTCCGTAGTACTAAAGTACTTAAGTAAATACGCACGCATCGTAGAACCCCAATATGTCGATATTCGAGAAAGGCAGCGATTTCAAACGCTGCAGTTTGTTCAAAAAGATTAAAACGTGAAGGCGAGATTTCAAATGCTGTTAGCAAAGTTGTTGATTTAGCTCGCATGCTTGACAATTCCATTCAACGAAACGTGCTCATGCTCTTAAGGTTTCACTTACGGCAGGGACTGTTGTAGACACAGCTTTCGTGGCAGCAGGTATCAAAGTTCACCCAAGTGCTTTCACGGCAGCATTTGGTGAGCTGTTGACGGGCATCTCCACATTCAAGGGAAGAACAGAACATTTTGTCACGGTTGGCTTGCGCTTCGATCGTCGTCGACGTGACTGCCACAGCAGCAAAGAGAACGGTGAGCGAAATCACAAAGTTCATGTCTTGAAGGTGATTTTTGACTTGTTTCAGCGTCTTGGAAAATTGAAGAATGATGAAATATGTATTCTTTCGCTTGAACCTTACCAGATCAATGTACATGTAGCTACGCCGTGATTATGGCTTGCCAAGTACAAGTTGGTCTGAATTAAAAACACAAGCCGGGATATCCTGTACATGTCCCAATCATGACATCGTGGTGCTTCAAACAATCCGTATAAAGCTGTGCAATTGGTCAACATTTTTACTTACGTTAAACTAATGCTTAGAATGCAAGTGAACGTGTTCGTCCAAAACGTACCATAGCTATCGTTTACGATGATCGGGAACCCGTACTCGTCTATCGTAAACGAGTATTACAGCGAAATATTTGACGAAAAACTACTAGTTTGCGATCATATTTTGTGATTCGTGCGCAATTAACTTTCTCTTTTCGCAGAATCTCCTTGAAGATGCGGTATATAATCCCCATAGTTTCAGATTTGACAAAATGTCACCGCACTATTACACACTTGTGCACTTTGTAGTGAACAGCGAACAGTAAAGTAAAGTGAAAAAGTGTAGTGCTGGTATCATATCATCCATGACCAGCTATTGCTGCAGCGACGATAAACTGGCTGGTCTCGTGCATTAAGTCCAGCCGAATCTTGGCTTCACTGCCATAACGCAAAGTAGGATCTCTCAGGTGATGATGGCCACTGCCATAACGCAAAACAAGATCACTCAGGTGTTCATAACGCTAAAAGCGTTGATATCCCGGATAGATAACGACAGCGCTGTTGACGCAAACAACAAACAACCATGTCTGTGTTGATAAAGCTGCAAGGCTGCGGCTTTTTTCAGCCGATCCCTTTCCCCTCGATTTGAACAATTAAGCCGTTTACCGAAAAAAAGTCGAATAAAACCGCAGAAATAAAGGCGCACAGGTAGATGTACACAGACACGTGGTACAGGTATACATGTAGAATGAAGTGCTCTCGATTGATCTTGTAACGGGGTTACGCGAAACTCTAACCGTAACGCTAATCGGTTAGAGTTAGAGGTTTCCCGTCTAGGTGGGCTCACACACCAAGATTGCATTTGAAGGGATCCTATTGGTAGAGTGCGCCACATCTCTACCAATCAGCGATGGGAATCACTGTCAGCCACCCGCTGACAGCCTTAGATATTTTATAAACAGTTTAGGAAGGAAACCCTGTAACGAAAGAATACAGTTCTCATTTTACGCTATCTAGCTACTATCTTGTCTTGCCGTACACACGATGCGTGTGTACGCTATACAACCTAGGAACACCTACGCTTCCTCCTACTCGTGCGCACACGTGTAAGCTAACTAGTGAGTCCTAGGCCCACTACACCTAGTAGCACTTTGTAGTCTGTCCAACGACCGACTTCACTGTTCGTATGACTTACGAACAGGGGCGCGAGAACCTTTCGATGGACGGGTTGTCTGTCGGAAGCCCCAACACAGCTGTGACACATGTGGTACGTGCAGACTGCCTCCATCTGTCGGATCCAGAGTGGGAGGCGCTCCAACGACTGTCAACGGGCATTGGAGAGGCGGCCGTAGCGACCATGCTACGCACTCTATCACCGACAGAGCAACATGGTGTTGCTCAGAGATTTATCTTGAGCGAGCAACGCGAGGTTGCTGCCGCGAATACAGTGTCACCCGGGGTGACACCGCGGAATGCGCATCTGAAGTTACACGTGAGTAACTACGAAGGCAAAGAAGGTGAGACCCTTCTTCGTTGGCTTGTCGAACTCGACACTGCCATTATGGCTCGACGTATTGTCGACCCACTGTCGAAGGTTGCCTTCGCCATGACTTGTCTTGTCGGACGAGCGCGGAGTTGGGCCTACGGGCGCCGGCTCGCCGATCCTACGTGATTCAGCACGTACGAGTCCTTCAAGAAGGCGCTCAAACTTGCGTTTGAGCCCCCGAAGAATGAGTTCCAGTCGAGAGCTGAGTTTCTCGACCTGCAGCAGGATACGCAAGATGTACACGCGTACGCCCAACGTGCACGGTATTTGGTCTCAAACGTCGTGACCAAACCGATGGACGAGACGACCAAGGTCGTCACGTTCATGAAAGGGTTGAGAGATGGGCCCGTGAAGACCTATCTTTTTCGAGAGTACCCGAGTACTCTCGAAGCTGCGATAACTCTCGCCATGCAAGAGGAGTTTAGCCTGCGGCAGGCTTAACTACATGTGAACGTTCCACTCCCACCCGAACCGGCGGTTGAGGTGGTGGATGAGGTGGAAGTCCAGAACCAATGAACCTTTAAAGCGCAACTGCTGTGGGGTAGCAGTGGCCGAGATCCAACGTGCGATGCTTCCGGCGCGGAACCATCGGACATTATGCACGCGAATGTACGACACCAGTACACTCGGTATAAGGTCGACGTGGTGATACAGAGTATCGTCACGGTCGAATAAATAACGCGACGGATCAGTAGGTGCGAGCCGCTCTACTGGTAATGTAGTCACGCATGTCTACAACGGACACGCGGTATTGAGGACTGCATCCCCCAGTGAGAGGGGATCTTACATCAAGGTGCAAGATGACCATCCAATCCTTGTCATCTTGAAGATGCCGTCGATGACGAAGAGGGCGGACTCTCTTCGAGTGTTGGCAGACTCGGATGCGTCAACACCCTGTTCGACAGCAATATCTGCCGTTGTTGGACTTCGAGGAAAATCATGTGCCTCGAAGTCAGTTGGAAGTACGATTGCAACGGGTGTCATCGTGAAGAGCGAGAAGTGTGTAATTTGCGCACGCTTCTCGCACAAACACCGGGTGTTTGTGGAAGAACTTCTCGTCCTGGACTTGAACTTGGACGACAAGTTTGACATGGTGTTGGTCATGCCGTGGCGTGCACGGCATGATCCTATTATCGACTGGGAGAAGCGTGCGGGCGTACGCTTCGAACACCGCGGTGCAACAGAGAGCGATGGCCCTGTTAGCGCAGCGGATACACCTAACGGTGCATTCGAATTTCTTTCAGAGACAATGGCTCGTGCCGCTGTCTCCGGTCGTAGCGCGTGGAGCGCACGAGCTGTAACGACTCCGGGAGTCGTTGACAGTGAAAGAGTGTCTGGTCCCTGACCAGACACTTCCAGAAAATTCTCCGCTGTGAGGCGTCGAGGTGACAACAGCGTGTCGACTGCGGGAGTTGACACGCACTCGAAATCGAAATCGAGAGGGTACTCCGCCGCAAGTCGTCGAGGTGACAACGGTGTGTCAACTACGGGAGTTGCGACACACTGCTCCACCGTAACGCGTAGAGGTGACGACAATGCATCGACTCCGGGAGTAGATGCGACAAGCTGTGTGGACGGTTTCAAACGTCCAGCACTGAAGCTTGCATGCTGTCGTGCAGTCGGGCTGCACGAAGCAGGGTGCGATCAAGCCGGGCTTGATGACGCGTGCTAGCGGGTACAAGGACCCGCCGGCAATCGCCCACATACTGGAATGTCTGCCGGTGGTATCAAAGAACATTCGTCCATGGACGGGCCTGGAAGAAACGCAAGTGAATCCGGGATTTATAAAAAGAAGCGAGGGCGCAAGCACAAGTCGCTGCGCAAGTCTCGGTCCGGAACCGAGACACTTCATGGTATGTCTGCCCGGCAGACACAAGAGCCAATCGTGGCCGTCGAGACGTCGAACGTCTTGACGCGGGCCTGTGCTGAGTATCAGCACAAGCATATGGAGTTGGAGAACCCTCCTGCTGATACGTCGGAGTTGACCTCGCTACCAGTCATGAGCTGGAAGCGCTTCGCAAAGGATCTGTACGATGGACGCATCGAACAGCTATGCACGCTTTCGGACCGAAAGTGTAGTGGGCCTAGTGCTCACTACCTAGCTTACACGTGTACGCACGTGTGTGAGGAAGCGTAGGTTGTCCTAGATAGTATAGTGTATACACGTA